GGCCCAGCACCCCCAGCAGTAGTACCCCCAGGCTCAGCACCCCCGCGCACAGTACCCCCAGAGTCAGGACCCCCAGGCTCAGCACCCGCAGCAGCACCAGAGTCACCAGTAACCTCGACCGGGTCAACGGCGTCTACCTGGGACACACCTGAGGGGGCAGGAACCTGAGGGGGGAGGGGGTCTACCGGGGGGGGAACCGGCACAAGGAAGTCCGGGGGAGGGGGGAGGGAAGGAGTGCGGTAGGGGAAGAGACGGTAGAAGGGGACTGACTCGTCGAACGTGACGTCCTGGGAGGACAGAACACGACGAGAGGAGGGGTGGTAAAACTGCCACCCTGGGGCGTCAGTGGGGAAGCCAAGGAAGACACAGGGAGCAGCACGAGGGGACAGCTTGTCCGCAGACAAGTCGCGGACAAACGCCCGAGATCCCCAGACACGGAACACAGACGCATCGCCAACCTTCCCCGTCCACAGCAAGGCTGGGGACATCGCAGGCCGAGAGACCCGGGGGTGAAGGTTGAGCTGATGCGCCGCGTACCTCACCGCAAACGGCCACAGAAAATGGGGGGCAGCCGCATGCATCATGGACGTACGAGCGACATCCATGACCATGCCAATGCGGCGCTCAGCAATCCCATTTTGCTGTGGTGAGTCCGGAAGCGTGAAGGTCTGGCGGATTCCCCGTGCACGACAGTAGTCTCGCAGAAGGCGAGAAGAGAACTCTCCGCCTCTGTCAGAGTGCAGACGCAGAACAGGAAAGTCCGAGCCGAAGCTCTTCCTGAGCTGGAGACGAGCCTCGCGGATCCAGTTGATCAGCACCTCAGTGACCGCACCCTTGCTGCGCAAGGGGAGGACTGTGGTGTAACGCGAGTAGTCGTCAACCACCAACAGGAAGTAGCGCTCGTAACCCTGCCCACGGACGGGGGCAGGGCCCCACACATCCATGTGAAGCGTCTGCAGGGGAGCCTCTGTCGGGGGGAAGTGGGAGGAGTGAGGAGTAGCCCGGAGGCGACCCTCGACACAGGGGACACAGGAAGGTCCTGGCCCGGAGGGGAGAGGAGGGAGAGACTGGGGAAGACCGGAGACAAGGACACGGGAAGCCATGCTCCGAAGACGGGGCAAGGAGGGGTGGCCAAGACGGTGGTGCCACAGGAGAGTCTCGTGAGACAGGAGGCGACAAGAACAGGGGGCAGACTCAGGACCTGACCGGGACGCAGCAGCAAGTACCTGACCCGACGCAGCCACCTGACCAGACGCAGGGACAGGAGGAGACTCAACGGTCAGGGTGTAGAGACTCGACCCCGGCCGACGCGAGAACGTGGCCAGGTGTCGGCCTGTGCGTGCCTCCGTGCAGTGGGTCACCCGCTGACTCGCAGGAGTGAACTGGTGAACACCCCCATCCTGTAGGTCCGCTCCACTCACCAAGTTCGTAGAGAACGAGGGAAGGTACAGACCCGACAGGGTGCCCGAAGGGGCAGCCGGACACGGGAGGACAGTGGAGAAGTGAGACAGGACAGGACCCCCAGAGGGGTCAGCAAGGGAGACTGCAACCGGCCGGCCGAGCGGCGTAAGGGTAGTGCGGTCTCGAAAGAAGGAGCGAGAAGCTCCGGAGTCAAGTGTGAAAGTGAGGGAGGACGAGGACGACTCAGTACCTGAGAGCGCAGTCTCACCAGTACCTGAGAGCGCAGACGCACTGGCACCTAGAGCAGCAGCCTCACAAGCACCTAGCGCAGCAGTACCAATGCCCGGGTCGGGCTGGAAACAGCGGTAACCCTCATTCTCCTCACTATAATCCACAACATACATAGCAGTAAGGATAGCATCAAAATCAAGATCAAAGATCGCTACACCAGCCCTGAGAAGCTCATCCCAGCGAGGGATCTCACTAGCCCCAGGGAACTGCTGACGCCAGGCGTCCGTCAGGCGGCCAAAGCAGCGCTGGGTGGCGTGGGCACCCCCACACTGCTCACCCGCGCGGTCGCCGGAACGAAGAACGTAGGTGCAGGGACCAGTACCCCCACCCCTCTGACGCCCAGCGTACCACTCACGAAGCTGCTGAGGCGAAGGGATGTCCCGAGAGCGCTGCTGCTGCTGGCGCTGCGAGCGCTGGCCACCACCACCGCCGCTACGCTGCTGGGTACCACCCCGACCAGCTCCACCCCCTCCACCACCACTGCCTCCTCCGCTGCCGCCTCCACCGCCTCCACCTCCGCCGCCTCCACCCCCGCCGCTGCCTCCACCACCACCGCTGGCACCACCACCACCGTCTCCGCCGCTGCTGCCACCACCACCACCACCCCCGCCACTAGTCCTGCCGCCACCCCCACTCCCTCCGCCGCCACCGCCGCCACCGCCACCGCCCCCTCCAGCTCCACCCGCGCCCTTGCCCCCCTTGCCCTTGCTGGAGCGACGTCTCCCACTAGGGGCAGACGCCGCGCCGACCGACTCAAGACCAAGCAGGTCGGCAGCAGCAGCAGAGGCAACAGAGGGCAGCAAGGGGGAAGGAGAGCACCCCTCAAAGATGGGGGTGCGAGGGTCACCACGAGAAGCACCTACAGCGACTATGCTCTTCTCCGCTGCGAGGAGGGCCTTCTCGAGGAGGTCGACGGTGAGGGTGGTGGGACAGACTGCGAGAAAGTGGTCCCTGACGACTCGAAGGGAGTCAGGGAGGCGCGCGACTACGTAGTAGAGAGCGATGTACATGGGGGGGGGGTTCTTAGCGCAGAACTCAGCAGGAAGGGCGGCGCGGTAGCGAGTGTCACTAGTGCGGAGGTGCGTAATGAGGTCAGCGACAGTGGGAAAGGCAGAGAGGTCAGGAAAGAGGTAGGGAAGCATGAGACGGCTCAGTGCAGCAGTGGCAGGGGAGGAGTAGCGCGCAACTACAGCGTCGTACAAGGTCTGAGCACTCTTGTACTGACTGAAGTGCGCACGCTCAGAGGTAGGGAGGTGGCGACGCACAGCAAGACGTGCAGCAGCATCGCGGGTGGCCCACTTAGAGCGGACAGCGGGATCAGCATCAGCAGCAGGAGCAGGAGAGGCGCCAGAGGTGAGATCAAAGAGAAAAAGGTCGTCAGCCCTGTCGCACTGTAAGAACAGCTGCAGGTCGTCTAACCAGACCTCAAAATCAATGGCGCGACCCTCAGCGTCAAAAGCCAGGATACTAGGGGTAGCCATGGCGACGACAGCTACGCAGTGCAAGCAGCAGGGAAAGAGCTCGCAATGTCAGTGGGACTGTGCTCACCAGGCAGGGCAGGTCGTGTAGGTATGCAGAAAGGCGGCTCAGCGACTTGGCGGCTCGGGTGCTGGGCGGCTCGGCTGCTGGGCGGCTCGGGCACAGGGCGGCTCGGCTCCCGGGCGGCTCGACGGCTGGGCGGCTCGGGTGCAGGGCGGGTCAGGCGCAGGGTCGGCTGCGGCTGGGCGGCTCGGCTGCGGCTGGGCGGCTCGGCGGCTCCAGGGCGGCTCGGCTGCTCCCGGGCGGCTCGGCGGCTCCGGGCGGCTCGGTTGCTCCGGGCGGCTCGGCTGCTGCTGGGGCCGTGTAGGTAGGGCGGCTGGGCCGCGAAGGTAGGGCGGCGGGCGGGCCGCTGATAGGGCGGCAGGTGGGCCGCAGGTAGGGCGGCGGCTGGCCGCTAGTAGGGCGGCGAAGGGCCGCGGGTAGGGCGGCGAAGGGCCGCGGGTAGGGCGGCGGGTGGGCCGCAGATGAGGCGGCGTAGGGCCGCAGGTAGGGCGGCGGGACGGCCGCTGGTAGGGCGGTGGTCGGGCCGCAGAAAGGCGGCGGGGCCGCGAAGGGATGGCGGGGCCGCGTCGAAGTGGCGGGGCCGCGACTGGGCGGCGGGGCCGCGACGAAGTGGCGGGGCCGCGACTGGGCGGTGGGGCCGCGATCAGAACGGGCGGCGGGGCCGCGACTGGGCGGCGGGGCCGCGACTGGGTGGCGGGGCCGCGACTGAGTGGCGGGGCCGCGCGAGGGGGTGGCGGGGTCGCGTCTGAAGGGCGGCGGGGCCGCAAGGGGACAGGGCGACTCAGAGGGTCGCAAAAAAAAAAAAGGAATCGCGCGCCTCGGGGCGCGCTTCGGTGGGCCCTAGGCGAAGTTCCCACAGGGAACCTGCTCTATACCATGTGAAACTGAAGAACAGGAATGAAAATGACTAAGGAAAGATTGGGTACAAATACAACCCTAGAAACCCCGTACCCCATATGTGCTACCCCACTATAGCCTACAGCAACTATGTCATATAAATCTGACACTCCGCTCGCCGTTCCCCCCACCGCGGTTTCTCCCGCGCCTTGCTCTGTTTTTGAGGGGTTGGGCGCGCCCCTAGTGGTGGGGGAAATGGTGCTAGACGTGCAGGGAAGAGCAACCATGGAGAGGGCGCTGGAACGAGGCACCACCACGCCAGGACAGGTACGAGTGCTCCGCGCCCCTGCACCCTGCGCTCTGCCCCGTGCGCTCTGCGTTCTGCCCCCTGCGCTCTGCCCCGTGCGCTCTGCGTTCTGCCCCCTGCGCTCTGCCCCGTGCGCTCTGCGCTCTCCAAAGGCGGAGAGGGAGGGGAAACTGCGTCGGCGGGGGAAATCAGTTCTGATCGCGCGATGGGAGAGCTGTCCGCTGGCGCAATTTACGGCAGACGCAACGCGAGGCCGGCGAGGGGGCAGATACTGGGGGTGGAAGGAGGAAATAAGGGAAAGAAAATCGGCGGCTTGGCGCGCGACGGGAGAGAGGCTCCGCTTGTGACGTGATCTGCAGCAGGCGCATTGGCGCACTGCCCCTCCTCATCACGCAGGCGTGCGCTGCTCATGTACAGAGCGGAATAAGGCGCGGAAGGGGATGAGGCGCGGAAGGGGATGAGGCGCGGAAGAGGATGAGGCGCGGAAGAGGATGAGGCGCGGAAGAGGATGAGGCGCGGAAGAGGATGAGGCACGGAAGAGGATGAGGCGCGGAAGAGGATGAGGCGCGCAAGAGGATGAGGCGCGGAAGGGTATGAGGGGGGGAAGAGGGTGGGTATGAGGATGAACACGAGGGCGTGTGGTGTTGGGGGAAGGCAGATGGTGCGGGGGGAGGAAGGTCGGTGCTGTGTGTGGGGGAAGGTAGGTGGTGCGGGGGGAGGAAGGTCGGTGCTGTGCGTGGGGGAAGGCAGGTGGTGCGGGGGGAGGAAGGTCGGTGCTGTGCGTGGGGGAAGGCAGGTGGTGCGGGGGGAGGAAGGTCGGTGCTGTGTGTGGGGGAAGGCAGGTGGTGCGGGGGGAGGAAGGTCGGTGCTGTGTGTGGGGGAAGGCAGGTGGTGCGGGGGGAGGAAGGTCGGTGCTGTGCGTGGGGGAAGGCAGGTGGTGCGGGGGGAGGAAGGTCGGTGCTATGCGTGGGGGAAGGCAGGTGGTGCGGGGGGAGGAAGGTCGGTGCTGTGCGTGGGGGAAGGGAGGTGGTGTGGGGGGAGGAAGGTCGGTGCTGTGCGTGGGGGAAGGCAGGTGGTGCGGGGGGAGGAAGGTCGGTGCTGTTTGTGGGGGAAGGCAGGTGGTGCGGGGGGGGGGGAAGGTCGGTGCTGTGTGTGGGGGAAGGCAGGTGGTGTGGGGAGAGGAAGGTGGGTGGTGTATGTAGGGGGGAAGGCGTGTGGTGCGTGGTGGGAAAGCCGGGCGTCGGGGGGAAACGAGAGCGACGGCAACGCGGGGAATCGCGGCGGCGGGAGTCACGGGCGGCGTGGGTAATCGCGAGCGGCGTGGGGAATCGCGGTCGGCGTGGGGAATCGCGGGCGGCGTGGGGAATCGCGGGCGGCGTGGGGAATCGCGGGCAGCGTGGGGAATCGCGGGCGGCGTGGAGAATTGCGGGCGACGAACGTAAGCGAGGGAGAGAAGGGGGATAATGGAATCACGGGCGAAGCGGGGAATTACGGGCGAGTAATATATGTATGTAAAAAAAAACGCCGAGATTGATGCGAAACATAACGCTTTTTAAAGGGGGGTTACGGTCAGGGGAGACGAGGGTGACGGGAAAGGCAAAGTATGGACCTAGCGTGGCCCGAAGGAAGGAGACACGAGGGTGATGGAGAGGGACGACGGTCAACGAACGTGAACGACAAGAGAGGAAGCAAGGGCGGCAGGTAAGGAGGGACGGGTGAGCAGTGATGGTAGGGATCAAACGACGGGAGGGAATGTAAGCGGGATCGCCAGTTGCGACTCGGGAATGCCATTTACGAGCATTGCGCGTGCCGTGCGCTAGAACGGATCCGTGTCTGGCATGCGAAAATGGTACGGTTTTAGTGTGTTTGGCATGAATTTGTGCGTGGCCAGACAGCGGGAGTGACTAGTGTTGGGCAGAGAAAAACGATTCTACTTGAGCTAGCTTTTATCGTCCAGCCGCGCTTTTACTAGTACTACTTGGCCTTCAAGATATGTGAGAGGAGATCGAGGCAACCTTGTGGGCGATGGGCTGATCTGTTGTGCGACAGGTCACAGAAACCAATCAGGAGTGACTGTCGCAGGAGCTTGTCCCTGGGTAGCGAGAATTTTTTCAAACCAAAACGGGTTACCCTGTTTTCTGCGACTTCAAGTTCAAGAATCTTGAACTTGAAGAATACCATGCTGTACGCGGGCCTTAAAGCCGGCGGCCCAAATTGTTCATGCTTTTAAAAGTTGACCAGAGGGAGTTTTTCTGGTGTGGGCTTTGGCGAGAGTTTCCGATTTCGTCTAGGTTCGTTTTTTTCGCGAGACCCAGCCAACCCTCGGTTTTCCCCCTGGTGAGTGAATCTGTCTTCGAAAGTCCCAAATTGCAAGTGCGTGACTTTCAAAAGCTTGGACACTCAACTTCGTCAAGTTTTAAAACCTTGACCCTAGCGGCCCGCAATTTGGGACGCGGGCTTTAATGAGCTGCGTACATGTCTTCGGACAAGGTGTGCGGAAGCATGCTAACTCATAAGCATGCTTACTTGACTTCACACACAACACACTTGTTGCCCACTGTCCAATGCCCAGCTGCAGCGTGTCCATTCGTCGAAACTGGCATTCGCGTGATTCGGCCTCGTCAGCTTGTGTGGCATCCACGCTATCATCTCTGCACATCAGTTGGCTGTTTCATACACCTCCAATCAGATGAACAGAGGAGCCGGACCGCATTCACTTCGCCCATTCGCTTGCTTTGGCTGACGTGGCTCATGGAATTGCCTCCTAGTTGGGCTTGAACATATCTGACATAGACAGCGTTCTATACCGTGTTATATTGCACCGATTGCTTATGGCACCGTATTGTAATCCCTCCTTACTCCCATTGCACCCTCCCCAACCTCGTCTTTTGGAGTGAGGTCAGGACTCAGTAGTACAATTTGGATGGGTCGCACAACACTTACCGTAGTTCACACATTTCCCTCCCTTCGGTGCCAGTGAAAAGCTTTGTGCTTGTGGTGGTATCTTGCAGCGACTGGACATTCGGCAGCGCTCCTGCCGCTTGTTGCGAGAATTCGGCGTTGATAGAAAGCTCTCTGCGTCGACAGTCTTACCCTGCCCGTAAAAGCGCTCAACTTGATTCCCATCAAATACCCGGAAGGACACTCAAATCAGTTCGCAACGGATATTATTGATTGCGACTATGGCTGCCACCGTCCTCTCGAGTCAACGCCACCATGCCCGACTCCTCGCCGCCAGGCTCTGTGCAACCCTTTCATCGCCCAATTCAATCTTTAATTCCGCAACCGATTCGCTAGCCGCGTCGCAGCCCGTCACACCGTCAGCGCCATGTGTGCATCTCCCAGCGGCGGCTTCCCTCTCCACCAGCGCAAGCGCGCCGGATCCCGCGGCGGGCGGCGCAAGCCCGAGTTCGTCGAGCCGCGCGGTCCCGCAGATGCCGGCGTTCGACCACGTGCCGGCGCCGTACACGGGGCCGCGCGCGGAGGAGGTGCTGAAGAAGCGACGCCAGTTCCTCAACCCGACCATTTTCGCCTACTACAAGAAACCGGTACGGCTTATATTCTTTTCATCCGAAAGTTTAGTCACATCGCCATCTCTATTTCTCTGCTGCGCCTCCTCGCGTGTTTCCACCCGCCGCATCGCCTTCCCACCGTATTCTTCGCTTTTGGTGTCTCGCCTAATGAGCTACGGGGCACGTGGCGATGTGGCATCGCAGCTGCGAGGAAGGTTCCAGGAAATGTTGCGCATACGGCAGGCCAACACCACCCACTGCCTTATTTCGAGGTGACCTTTCAGCACTTTCGTCCTCGAGCACGCCTGCAGGTTGTCTGAAATCCCCCCCTCCCCTCTCCCCTTCCATCCCCCTCCCCCGTATTCCCCTCCACGCAGCCCTTCCCCCGCTACCCCCCTCTTCCCCCCTTTCCTTGTCAGCAACACGTGCCGGTGAGGTGACCGCAGAGCCTCTAAGTCGAGGACGGCTGCGGTGCCTCCAGGACGCACATACTAGCCAGTCTGACACCCCCCCTCCCTCCACCACCCTCCCCCGTATTCCCCCTCCACCCACCCAAACCCCCCACCCCTCCTTCCCCGTGCCAGCTGCACGTGGTAGAGGGGCGCATGCAGCACCTGTACGACGAGGACGGCTACACACTGCCGCACATGCGCCAGCCCACCCAAAGGCCCCCGCCTCCCCCTCTCTCCCCTCTTATCTCCCCCCCATGATCCCGTTTCCCTGTGCCCTCCACCCCCCCAGCTACACGTGGTGGAGGGGCGCATGCAGTACCTGTACGACGAGGACGGGCGGCGGTATTTGGATGCATTCGCGGGCATAGTGACGGTGTCGGTGGGGCACTGCCACCCGGCGTTCGTGGCGGCGGTGGCGCGGCAGAACGCGCTGCTGCAGCACACGACGAGCATCTACCTCAACCACCAGATCGCCGAATACGCGGAGGAGCTCGCTGCCAAGATGCCCAGCGACCTCAAGGTCAGTCCGTGCTGCAGGTGTTATGGTGAGATGGTGAGATGGTGAGATGATGAGATGGTGAGATGGTGAGATGGTGAGATGGTGAGATGATGAGATGGTGAGATGGTGAGATGGTGAGATGATGAGATGGTGAGATGGTGAGATGATGAGATGGTGAGATGGTGAGATGATGAGATGGTGAGATGGTGAGATGGTGAGATGATGAGATGGTGAGATGGTGAGATGATGAGATGGTGAGATGGTGAGATGATGAGATGGTGAGATGGTGAGATGGTGAGATGGTGAGATGGTGAGATGGTGAGATGGTGAGATGGTGAGATGGTGAGATGGTGAGATGGTGAGATGGTGAGATGGTGAGATGGTGAGATGGTGAGATGGTGAGATGATGAGATGGTGAGATGGTGAGATGGTGAGATGGTGAGATGGTGAGATGGTGCAGGCACGCACTGTGCAGCACACGACGAGCATCTACCCGAACCACCAGATCACGGAATATGCAGAGGATCTCGCTGCTAAGATGCCCGGTGACCTCAAGGTGCGTGCATGGCAGCATGGCAGCATGGCGGCATGGCGGCATAGCGTGGTGGTGAGGTGAGGTAGTGGGTACATGCACTGCGCAGCACACGACGAGGATTCCGCTGCTAAGATGCCTGCTGACCTCATTCATGGTCACTCAGGGCTGCTGGGCTGCTGGGCTGCTCTGCTGGGCAGAATGTGTATGTGGTGAACTTAGGCTCGGAGGCGAATCACATGGCGAATCACATGGCGCATCACATGGCGCATCACATGGCGCATCACATGGCGCATCTGGCCACTGACACCTGCCTGCCTGCCCTCCCCTCATCCCCATTCTCCCTCTCCCCTTCACCCCTCCTCGTCCGCTCGTCCTCTGCCCCTGTTCGCCCGTACCAGAATGTGTACTTTGTGAATTCAGGCTCAGAGGCGAACGACATGGCACTCACCATGGCGCGGCTGTACACGGGCAACTACGACGTGGTTGCTCTGCGCAACGCGTACCACGGCATGTCCCCTGCTACCATGGGGCTCACCGCCCACAGCACGTGGAAGTTCAACGTTCCTCAGGTGAGTCCCGGCCACAGCACGTGGTTCTCGTACAGTTGCTTTGCTACTCACATTTCTCAAGGTTGGAGTGAAGCTGTGTCTTGGCACAGTGCACAGTGCACAGTGCACAGCACGGCATGTCCCCCGCCACCATGGGACTCACACAGCACACAGCACGTGGAAGTTCAACGTCCGCCAGGTGAGCACCTGGCGAGGGGGTGAGGGGAGGGGTTTGTTGAATTGGTGGTGGCATGACACATGGCACGTGGTTGGGTTGGAGTGGCATTGTTGATGGATGGCCCCAGGCAAGTAGGATGCTGCTGCTCTGCACATTCAGCACCACGTGGCATGTCCCCTGCTCCATCACCCTCACAGCCCACACCACTCCATCCCCTCCTCCACTCCTCTTTTACTTCTCCCTTCCCACTTCCATCTTTCCCCTTGTTCCGTCCCCACCTGTTGCGCCCCTCCTCGGTGTTGGCAATGTCTCATGGGCTCCCCGTTACCATTGGGGCGTCTCTTCTGCCCCTTTCCTCCCCAACCTCTCGCTTCCAGTTTCTTACCGCTCTGGGCTCTGGCATGTATTGCACTCAATTCTGACACATACAGGAAGGTATTTAATGCTCACAGCGTCGTTGGATTCCTCCCCTGTTCCCGCTCCCTATCCCCCCCTACCCTCTCCCCTCCTGTTTCCTTCCCCCCGCCAGGGCTTTGGCATTCACCACGCACTCAACCCCGACCCTTACAGGGGCGTATTTGGTGCTGACGCTGCAAAGTACGCTGCTGACGTGGACGACCTTATCCGCTCGTCCACATCAGGCCGCGTGGCCGGCTTCATCGCCGAGACCATCCAGGGGGTGGGCGGCACAGTGCCTCTGACACGTGGCTACCTGCCATTGGTGTACGAGTCGATCCGGGCGGCGGGGGGCGTGTGCATAGCGGACGAGGTGCAGACGGGGTTTGGGCGCACGGGGTCGCACTACTGGGGGTTCGAGACACAGGGGGTCACTCCCGACATTGTTACTATGGCCAAGGTATGCATTGCTCCGGGGGGTGGGCGCATGAGGGGCGAACAGGGGGTTTGGGAGACGAGGGGCAGAGGGGGTTTGGGCGCACAGGGTGGCACTACTGGGGGTTCGAGACCCAGGGGGTCACTCGTGGCATTGTCACCATGGCCAAGGTATGAGATAAGAGTATACAGGTGCGTGGGTGTGGCGAGGAGCACATGGGGTTTGAGCGCACGAGGTGCAGAGCAGACTGGGGTTGAGCGCAGGGGGTCATGCCTGACATGGCCACGGTATGAGTTGATTTGATAAGAGTGTCAAGGCACGTGGATATGGGCAGGGCACGTGGATATGGGCAGGGCACGTGGATATGGCAGGGCACGTGGATATGGGCAGGGCATGTGGATATGGGCAGGGCACGTGGATATGGGCAGGGCACGTGGATATGGCAGGGCACGTGGATATGGGCAGGGCATGTGGATATGGGCAGGGCACGTGGATATGGGCAGGGCAACGCAAAGTACTTGGTCAATCGTGTTGGTGGAAATGGAAAGTGCACGAGGTGTGAGGCTATGGTGTGTTGGTCTAACGTCATGATGTCCTGCAGCTATGTCATTATGTCTTGAGTGAAGCTTTTATGTCGTTCCTCCCTCCTTCCTGGTCCTCTTTCCTTTTCCATCATCCTTCCTCCGTTTCTTTCTCTTCTTCTTCTCCATATCCCCTCCTGCACTTTCCCATCCTACTTTAAGACCCAGCCGCGGGTTCCCTCGTTCAACGATTTGTAACCATGTCACGGTTACAGCATTGATACTTTCTATATGTGTTCTATCCTGACAATCCATCCGCCACCCCCCTCCACTCCCAACCACCACAGGGTATAGATCCTTGCAGGCGGTGATGTAGGTCATGTGCATGTGCATGTGCATGACCATGTACAGGGATAGATCCTTGCAGGCGGCGGTAACCACGCCAGAGATCGCAGCACTGACGTTGCGGCGGCGGCACTTGGTCGTGTGAGCTGCGCTGCCGTCCAGGCAGTGATTGTTCTTTCAGCTGCCTCCAAGGTCACTCTTGAGTCAACTCAAAAGTCACCTCGCAGCACTTCACCCTGTGAGCTGCGCTGGCGTCCTTGAGGCGGTGATTGTTCCTTCCGCTACCTTCAAGGTCCTCCCCACCAACCCAAACTCTACTTCCCACCGCTCCCACTCCCACCCACCACAGGGCATAGGCAACGGGTTACCCCTGGCAGCGGTGGTAACCACGCCGGAGATAGCAGCAGTGATGGCCCAGCAGTTGCACTTCAGCACGTTCGGTGTCAACCCCTTGACCTGTGCTGGCGGGCGGTGTTCTATTCTTTTCCATGCGCCTTCAAATCCCTCCCTCCCGTTCCTCCCAACACAGGGCATAGGCAACGGGTTACCCCTGGCAGCGGTGGTAACCACACCGGAGATCGCAGCAGTGATGGCGCAGCGGCTGCACTTCAACACATTCGGAGGGAACCCCGTGAGCTGTGCTGGCGGGCGGGCAGTGCTGCAGATTATCGAGGACGAGGGGCTGCAGGGGAACTGCGCTCATGTGGGGGGATACCTGCTGGGGAAACTTCAAGCACTTAAGGGGAAACACGAGGGTGAGTTGGCAGGATGGATGGGTGACGGAATGAGTGAGATAATGAGTGAGAGAGTGAGGTATGTGATGTGAGGTATATGATGTGAGGTATATGATGTGATGTGAGACAGAGAGTGAGGGATGTGTTTCTAGGCTGGTCACTGCCTCCATGTACTCCCACCTTGGCTGGAATGCTCCTTCATGCTCCAAACTGTTCACCTGTCCCTTGGTTCCAAGCCAGCAGTCTATCAAACGTGGGGGAAGGAGCGGGCCTGGCAGTGAATTACTGCTAGCATGCCACTGCTTGGATACTTGCGGTCCACTGCTTGGATACTTGCGGGCCACTGCTTGGATACTTGCGGTCCACTGCTTGGATACTTGCGGTCCACTGCTTGGATACTTGCGGTCCACTGCTTGGATACTTGCGGTCCACTGCTTGGATACTTGCGGTCCACTGCTTGGATACTTGCGGGCCACTGCTTGGATACTTGCGGTCCACTGCTTGGATACTTGCGGTCCACTGCTTGGATACTTGCGGTCCACTGCTTGGATACTTGCGGTCCACTGCTTGGATACTTGCAGTCCACTGCTTGGATACTTGCGGTCCACTGCTTGGATACTTGCGGTCCACTGCTTGGATACTTGCGGTCCACTGCTTGGATACTTGCGGTCCACTGCTTGGATACTTGCGGTCCACTGCTTGGATTCTTGCGGTCCACTGCTTGGATACTTGCGGTCCACTGCTTGGATACTTGCGGTCCACTGCTTGGATACTTGCGGTCCACTGCTTGGATACTTGCGGTCCACTGCTTGGATACTTGCGGTCCACTGCTTGGATACTTGCGGTCCACTGCTTGGATACTTGCGGTCCACTGCTTGGATACTTGCGGTCCACTGCTTGGATACTTGCGGTCCACTGCTTGGATACTTGCGGTCCACTGCTTGGATACTTGCGGTCCACTGCTTGGATACTTGCGGTCCACTGCTTGGATACTTGCGGTCCACTGCTTGGATACTTGCGGTCCACTGCTTGGATACTTGCGGTCCACTGCTTGGATACTTGCGGTCCACTGCTTGGATACTTGCGGTCCACTGCTTGGATACTTGCGAGCCACTGCTTGGATACTTGCGAGCCACTGCTTAGATACTTGCGGTCCACTGCTTTTGTGCGTTTTGGCAGTGGAGTTGGTCACAGCTCGTTCTCTCCCTTGTCGTCCTCTCGAGCCTTCCCCCAACCTCACTCATGTCGTGCCATCGACCAACAGGGATTGGGGACGTGAGGGTGCGGAGTGGGGCTGGAGTGGAGCTGGAGTGGAGCTGGAGTGGGGCTGGAGCGGAGCTGGAGTGGGGCTGGAGTGGAGCTGGAGTGGGGGTGGAGTGGAGCTGGAGTGGGGGTGGAGTGGAGCTGGAGTGGGGGTGGAGTGGAGCTGGAGTGAGGCTGGAGTGGGGCTGGAGTGGGGCTGGAGTGGGGCTGGAGTGGGGCTGGAGTGGAGCTGGAGTGGGGCTGGAGTGGGGCTGGAGTGGAGCTGGAGTGGGGCTGGAGTGGAGCTGGAGTGGGGTTGGAGTGGGGCTGGAGTGGAGCTGGAGTGGGGGTGGAGTGGAGCTGGAGTGGGGCTGGAGTGGGGCTGGAGTGGGGGTGGAGTGGGGCTGGAGTGGGGCTGGAGTGGGGGTGGAGTGGAGCTGGAGTGGGGGTGGAGTGGGGGTGGAGTGGAGCTGGAGTGGGGGTGGAGTGGAGCTGGAGTGGGGGTGGAGTGGAGCTGGAGTGGGGGTGGAGTGGAGCTGGTTCCTCGCTAACCCCCGCCTGTTTGGCCTTCTGTTCCTCGCTAACCCCCGCCTGTTTGGCCTTCTGTTCCTCGCTAACCCCCGCCTGTTTGGCCTTCTGTTCCTCGCTAACCCCCGCCTGTTTGGCCTTCTGTTCCTCGCTAACCCCCGCCTGTTTGGCCTTCTGTTTTCCGCCCTGCACCCTTCCACTCGCTCCCTCCATGCCACACAACAGTGATTGGCGACGTGAGAGGTGCGGGGCTGATGCTGGGGGTGGAGCTGGTCACAGACCGGGCGGCCAAGACCCCCGCCAAGGCCGAGACACTTCAGTCCTTCGAGCGGCTTAAAGGTGAGACCTGATGGTGGTGGCTCGGATTGAGGTGGGTCTGGTAGCCATTAGTTTGGGGCCGTTTTGTTTCAGGGTAGGGATGAGCGAGTGAGATGGTAACAGTTGACAACCCAGGGTGGAGGGTGGAGGGCAAGGGACAGCTCTGCGTGCTTGTCAGACCCGTTTCAAAGGGATGCCTTGAGGCAATTCTCACAAGCCTGTGCGCCATCCCTGTGCTGCTGGGCAGGCCTGGTGGGTACGGCTGCTGGGCAGGATGGCTGGGCAGGATGGCTGGGCAGGATGGCTGGGCAGGATGGCTGGGCAGGATGGCTGGGCAGGATGGCTGGGCAGGGGAGGATACTGTTTGTGCGGTGTCTTGCTGCCCTGCCAAGGAATTCTCCACTGCCCCCCATGCACTGCCTCTACCCCATGCACTGCCTCTACCCCATGCACTGCCTCTGCCCCATGCGCTGCCTCTCCCGCATGTGTCCTCCTGCCGTATCCCATGTGCGGCAGATCTGGGCGTGCTAGTGGGCAAGGGAGGGCACTACGGGAATGTGTTCCGCATCAAGCCACCCATGTGCTTCACCACGGCCGATGCTGGTACGCACCTCATGCAAACCATGCACCTGATGGGAGGAGGGTATGATGGCAGGGGGTGAGTGTGATGGCAGGGGGAGGGTGTGATGGCAGGGGGAGAGTGCGATGGCAGGGGGGAAGCAAGATGGCAGGGGGAGAGCGAGAATGGCAAGGGGAGTGCACATCATGCGTGTCTCACTCTCTATTATCAGCACCTATGAGGTGTTTCACAATGGGTCAGTTGGCTTCCAGTATGGAACCCTTTCCATGCACATCGTATTAGATTCATTTCTTCAGGTTATCTCTTTTTTTTTTTTTTTCCTGCCCCCTACCCTCACAGACTTCCTCGTTGACTGTATGGATGTGGCGTTCTCAGAGCTTTAGAGTGGTGCTCTTTGCCCCAGCTTGCAGTTGCTCATACCCTATTCCGTCTAATTGGTTCTTTCTTTATTCATCGGGATACAGCACCTTTGTGCATACCTATGATGTGTACATTCACTGTACAATATGTTACGCAAGATTACCGTGATCGACCAGGTAGACGCCCCTAGGGGGCTCATACACACAAGTTTTCAAAGTACGGTAGGTATTGTCAAATGTTGTCGCCTTTAGTGAGGTTTGTCTTAGGGGGTACAGGTGTTAGGGTTTGTTATATGTACCCCAACCCACATCAATGAAACACACAATTCTATGGTATCACCTAGGTTAGGATCCTGTGGGATCCTGCTCCTCCCGTCCTCGTTCGTCTCGCCCGAGCCTGTCTCACTCTGGCGTACTAGTTGTGCCCGTCTTGCCCGAGCCTAGTCCCGTTCGTTCGTTACCGCCCGTTCCGCCGACCCACTTTCCCCGTAGCGTAGCGCCCCCCCCCCCCCCTCCCCCCCCCCCCCCCGCTGCCCGCCGTCGCGCCTCCTAGTTAGGCCGCCGTGAGCTCGCTCGTCCCGCCGCTGCGCCTGCCCGTACTGCCCGCCGCGGACCCTCCCTTATAGCCGCCATGGGCCCTCCCTTTCAGCCGCCGCGCCTGCCAGTTCAGACAGCCGCCGTGCCTCCTCGTTAGGCCCGCTGCGGGCTCGCTTGTTAGGCCCTCCCTTCACACTGCTGCGCCAACCCGTTCAGTCCACCGCGGGACCACCCCTTGCGCCAGTCACGCCTGCGTTTTGCACCTGCCACGGACTTGCCCTAGCCGCCCTACCAGTGCCGCCCGCCGCCGGACTTGTCGTTTCCGCTTACGCTATGGCGACCCCTAGGGTTCTTCGCTTTGACGCTGACGGTAGACCGCTCGAGTTTCCGGTCTGGCTCCTACGCGCACGTCGCCTAAAAGAGAGTCAGGTCCAGGCGGGCGAGTCCCTCTGGGCGCACGCTACTGGTGCCCTTCCTGCGCTCGACGACCCTACGCCTTTAGGCCCTGCTCCTGACGACGCCGCCAGAGACCGCTTTACCCGCCAGCGTGCTGACCTGACGGCGTGGAAGTCGCGTGACGATGCGGCCTGCATCGCTCTTAGCGGCCTCCTCCCTGAGTCTGAGGAGGCCCACTTCACTCAGGTTCGCATTACTAGTGAGCTCCTGACTGCGATCAAGGCCCACTACGCTACTCCCACCACTGTCTCTCTTGACCGCCTCTTCCTACCGTTCTTGTTCCCTGACCTCGCCTCGTTTGAGCGCTCTGCTGACCTGATTGCTCACCTCCGCTCGCTCGATTCTAGCTACCGCGCTGCTTGCACTGACGCACAGCTTGTAGTGCTTCCCCCTCCCATGGCGATTACTATCTACTTCATTGCCACTAGCCTCCCTGACCGCCTTGCCTCAGTTCGTGACACGCTTCTTCTGAAGCACCCTAGTTAGCTCACTATCGAGGTCCTTGAGTCTGCGCTCAAGGACATCGAGAGCAACCTCCGCTCCATAGCCTCCGCCTCTGGTGTTGTGCCCCCTCCGCTGTTTCACGGGTGCACTGTCCCTCAGTTGCCCACTTTTATGCCTCACTAGCCACTGCCACTACTGACGTGACCGCAGCTGCTATTACGACTCCGTCGCGGTCTCGAGGTAGGGGCGGTCAGGGTGCAGGCGGCGGCGGCGGTGGCGGCGTTGGCGGCGGAGGTGGTGGGGGTGGCGTGCCGACCGGTGGCGGCAGGAGCGCAGGGCCTAGAGAGACGTCTCGTGCAGGCCAGTGACTCCCCTACTGCAGCTGGTGGAGGCGACACCCGGACTCGTCAGCCTCCTCCTGGTCTGCCGGCCATGGTGGGTAGAGCAGCGGCGTGGTACCTGGCCCAGTGGCAGCAGCAGCAACCCCTCCCCTTGCAGCAGCCCCCGCAGCAGCAGCGGCAGCAGCAGCAGCAGCGACTCCTGCCCTCGGCCCCGGTTACTTCCCCTAGTCTGGTCCCTGCGTCTCACCAGGTTGCTGCGTCCCCTCAGGTAGCTGTGTCTGGTCTGGTTCCCATGTCTGGTCCAGTTGCTGCGTCGTGCTCCTGCCGGTCCCTTGCACACCCCACCGTTCTGTGGCACCACCGGATGGGGCGCCCATCCCTCCCTCGTCTGCGCGCTATGTCTCGTCAGAGTCTTGCCTTAGGCCTCCCGCGTGTCTTGCCGTCGCTGCCGCCTTCTCTTGCACCGCCGTGCGGTCCTTGCGTCGAGGGTCGGCTGCGCGCCACCCCTCATTCCTCCCTTCTTCCGGCCACTGAGCCTTTTGAGACGATCCACTTGGACGTCTGGGGCCCCGCCCCTCGCCTTGGCCCTGAGCGTGAGCGTTTCTTTCTGGTGGTCGTTACGACTACTCCCGCTTCACCACAGTGTTCCCCCTGGCGAAGAAGTCTGAGTTGACTTCTACGCTGATAAGGTGGTTGTTTACCACAGAGGACACTCGTGGTCATCGTGTCAGCTGTCTTCACTCTGACCGTGGGGGTGAGTTTCGCTCCGGCATTCTCGCTGGATTATGTCGCGAGCAGGGCATTCGTCAGTCCTGGACGCTTCCAGAGTCCCCACAGCAGAATGGGGTTGCTGACTGCCGCATAGGCTTGGTCATGGAGATCGCCCGCACCTCCTTGACTCACGCCCGTGCCCCCCATTTTCTGTGGCCCTACGCGGTTAGGTACGCCGCTTACCCGCTGAACCTCTGGCCACGCGTCTCTCGGCCAGAGGCTTCGCCGACCAGTCTTTGGACCGGGTCTCCTGGTGTTGCGTCGAGGTTTCGTGTCTGGGGTTGCTTGGCTCTTGTGCGCGACACTTCCGCGGACAAGCTCTCGCCTAGCGCCGTTCCCTGTGTCTTCCTTGGTTTCCCTGAGGACTCCTCTGACTTCACCTTTTACCACCCTCCCTCTCACCGGTTCTTTGACTCCCGTGACGTCCGTTTCGAGGAGCCCACCCCCTACTACGTCAGGTACCCCAGTCGAGGTCTCCTGGTTCCTCCTCCCCCTCTCTTCCTAACTTCCGCTCCCCCTCCTGCTCCCCCGGTACAGCCCCCCCCCCCCCCCCCCCCCCCCTGGTCCCGCCCCGTCAGGTGTGTCCCAGGCTACCCCTCCCCCTTAGTAGCCCCTCAGGTGCAGCCTCCTTCCCCGCAGTCCTCCTCGCAGCCTGCTACAGACCCTGCGGGAGCCGGTGCTCGTGGAGAGGGCCCTGCGGGTGCTAGCTCTAGAGGAGTTGGAGTTGGTGCTGAGAGCGTCCCTGTGCCGGTTTCTGGTTCTGGGGGTGTTGGAGTTGGAGCTGAGCCCGTGGTTGCAGGAGACTCTTGTCTTCCGGGAGCTAGTGTTGGTCCTGCTGACTTTGGGGGTGCTACGTCTAGGGGTGCGGGTGCACCCCCTTCGGGTCCTGGTGAGCCTGGTCGTGTTGCTGTTGGTGGTGCTGACTCTGGGGGTGGTGCGTCAGGTGCTTTGGAGGGCGGTCCCGGGGCTGCCGCAGCCCCGGACACTACTCCTCCCCCCCACCCCTACCCGACCTGGCACCAGGCTCGTGTTCGCCGTGCCCGTGGGGAGCAGCTGGAGTTGGAGAGAGAGGAGAGAGAGTAGCAGCGGCTGGAGGAGCGGCAGCATCAGCAGTAGGAGCAGCAGCAGCAGCCGTAGCTGGAGCCGCCGCAGCAGCAGGAGGCGCAGCAGCTGGAGCCGCTGCAGCAGCAGGAGGAGCAGCAGCCGCTGCCGCAGCAGCAGCAGCCGCCGCCTCCTCCTCCTGTCTCTGGTCTTCGGGCCCTCGGTCCCCCCTCTTGCTCTCCTTCCTCCTCCCCCTCTCCTCCCGTCTCTAGTCCTCCGCTTCCTCCTCCTGACCCCTCCCCGGCTGTTTTCCCTCGTTCTCAGCCTCTGTTGTCCCCTCCTCCTTCTCAGACTTGGGCCTCTCGTTGCTCCCCTCGTGCTCCTCCCTCGTCTCCTGTTCTCGTTCCTGACCTTTATACTGCCCTCTTTCGTTCTAGTCCGCCTCGTTCGTCTCCGTCTCTCCTTACGTCTCCTCCTGAGTCGGCCCTCACTGCTTCTCTCTCTAAACCTGTCACTGACTACTACCGCACGTACCGTCCTGTTCTCTCTCGTGTTCTCGCCTCTCTTGTTACCGACCCTCGTGCCTCAGTCTCCTCTGTCTCCGCCCTTACTTCTGCAGTCACTGAGTTTGCCTCTACCCGGCGCCTTGACTACGCCACCAGTCTTGTGGTTGCTCCTCCTACCAGTCCTCTGGCCGTCGGGGGTGAGTCTGCCCTTGGCTGTGACGCCCTAGAGGACAGGCAGTTTGAGCTACAGTTCCTGGCAGCCGCTTCCCCACATCTCTGTGCCATGCTGCTCGCCCCTAAGGGAGACCCCGACGCCGTTGACATACCGACTCCTCGCACGTACGCTGAGGCAGTGTCAGGGCCTTGGGCCTCTCAGTGGAGAGCTGCCATGGACGCAGAGATGACCTCCTACAGATCCACAGGCACCTACGTCGACGAAGTCCCCCCCCCCTGGGGCGAACGTAGTTGATGGCATGTGGATCTATAGGGTGAAGCGGCCACCGGGATCTCCTCCGGTCTTCAAGGCGCGCTACGCGGCTAGAGGTTTCAGTCAGCGCGAGGGAGTTGACTTCTTTCAGACCTTCGCACCTACCCCAAAGATGATCACTCTTCGGGTGTTACTGCACGTAGCAGCATAGAGAGACTACGAGTTACACTCTCTCGACTTCTCCACTGCTTTTGTTCAGGGTAGCCTACACGAGGAGGTCTGGCTGCATCGTCCCTCTGCCTTCACTGGCACTTTCCCTCCTAGGACCCAGTGGAGGCTGAGGCGACCTGTCTACGGTCTTCGTCAGGCTTCTCGTGAGTGGCACGACACTCTTCGTTCTACCCTCTCTGACCTTGGGTTCCAGCCATCTTCTGCCGACCTGTCGCTGTTCGTTCGTCGTGGCTCCACACCGTTCTTTGTTCTGGTCTACGTCGACGACCTGGTTTTCGCCACTGTTGACAGGGTTGCCTTGGCAGACGTGAAGTCCGAACTGCAGAAGAGACACACGTGTACTGACCTTGGTGAACTGCGCCACTACCTTGGCCTGCAGATCACCAGGGACAGAGTTGCTCGCACCATTACACTCTCACAGTCACACATGGTGCAGCAGGTCCTTCAGCGGTTCGAGCTTCATCACTCCACAGTACAGCGCACACCTCGTGCTGTTGACCACAGACTTACTGGACCCTTTCCTGATGAGCCGTTTGAGTCTAGTGGTCCCTACGCAGAGCTGGTGGACTGCCTCATGTACCTGATGACTTGCACTCGCCCGGACCTCGCCTTCCTCTCAGCATCCTTGCTCGCTTTGTTGCGCCAGGGAGACACCGTCCTGTTCACTAGACGGCAGCTATGAGGGTGGCGAAGTACCTATCGACGACATCAGGCGTGGGGCTAGTTCTTGGAGGGCAGCAGCCTGTCGTACTTACTGGTCACTGTGACTCTTCTTACGCTGACGACGCTGAGACTCACAGGTCTACTCAGGGATACTGCTTCTGGTAGGGTTCCGGAGCTGTTTCTTGGCGGTCCACGCGCTCCTCTTCGGTCTCGACCTCTACAAGTAAGGCTGAGATCTACGCTGGTGCCATGGCGGCACAGGAGCTGCGTTGGTTGACCTTCTTGCTCGCCGACCTTGGTGAGCAGCCGAGCTCTGCACCGACCTTGTTTACTGACAACAAGGCGTCAATTCTCCTTTGTCGAGAGCCGCGACTGGAGAGCAGAGTGAAGCACATTAATGTCAGGTACTTTCTTCTTCGAGAGTTGCAGAGACGTGGACAGGCTCGCTTCGAGTTTGTGGAGTCCGAGGACAACACTGCAGACATCTTCACCAAGGTGCTTCTGCCTTGTGACCACCAGAGGTGTTGTGTGCAGTTAGGCCTTGTTGACACAGGTTCTAGTCGTATATAGGCTTGAGTTTACTGTTTGCTTTGCTTGTACTCTTGCTATACACACTTGTGAACTCTCAGACTGGCCTTGTGGCCCCTGTTGCTTGTGCTCAGAGTGTGTGGTGACGTTGTGATCCACCCTGAGCTTTGTTTCTTTGTGACTGGTCTTGTGACCGTACACTTTTGGTTTTGCTTGACACCCCTCACTTAGGCTATGGGGGTGTGTCAAATGTTGTAGCCTGTAGTGAGGTTTGTCTTAGGGGGTACAGATGTTAGGGTTTATTACATGTACCCCAACCCACATCAATGAAACACACAATTCTTTTCTTGAGAGGTACGACATCTTGCAAAACACCGCATACTGTCATCATTCAAGCTTGAGCGCCCCTGACGGATGGCTCTAGGCTTGAGCGATGTGGGATAGTTTGAGAGTAGCAACATGGCACCCAATTGCTGTAGGTGCTGTCTTGACATGGCTACCTCTTATGTAAGGTGAAACGGCAAAGCCTTTGTTCTGCATACTGGTGCTTTAGAATTAATGTTATATCCAGAATGAATTGGCAATGCAGTGCCATGTACACTCAAATGCAGGTACGTTATGTAGAAATGCCATTCCAAACCAAAGGCTACGCACTTGAGATTCTCCCATGTGTTGTTGACGATAAGAACCATCCGTTTTTGCTCGACTGTTGGCTATTCTGTGACTGCTCAGTGTCGACATGAATCACAAACCTCCACGTCAGTGGGAAGAGGAGATGCGCGACTCTTTACATTGGAGCGTGTGCCAGTGACTGACTGAGCCCTAGTCCTTGTCCTCGTCATCGGACTCGTGGAACAGTGTGGTGGGCTGCGTGGCAGCGTAGGCGGGGGCGATGATCTGCGGGTCCTTGGCGGCCGCGTCGGCGTACTTGAGGATGGCCTCTCGCGGGTCCTCCTCCATCCACGTCTCCTTCAGCAGCCCGCCCTCCTGCCAACCAATGCACGCACATGTGGGAGAGGTTTACAAGGCGGGAAGTGGTTGGGGACATGAGGAAGGGATTGGGAGAAGAGAGGAAGAAATGGAAAGGGAAGTTTGCTCTCCTAGCAGTCGTTCTCGGGCTGTGAACTACTGCCAGCATCCATTCTAATGCTCCAAAAAAGTCCAGCAATAACTGCCAGAGCAGCACAACGAAGCATGCAGGCAGCAGGCAGCAAGCAGCAGGCGGTAGCACGCACGCGGAGCAGGTACTGGGTGAGCAGAGTGCCCTTGGTCTGCCCCACGCGCCCGCCGTGCCCCGGTCCGTCCATGGGCAGGTCGGGGCGCTGGCTGGCCACGGGGTCTTTGCGCGCCTTCTCGCGCTGCCGCTTGCGGCTCGGCTCGTCGCGGAACATGGGCAGCGCGTGCGGGTTGCGGATGGCGGGCGCCGCCACGCGCGCACACAGGTCCTCGGGGCGCGGCGCGCGGGGGGCACGCGCCACGCACACCAGCGCACCGCGCTCGCTGAGCGTGGGGTCGTAGAGGATGTGCGTGCCGCCCGCCTTCTTGTTGCCACATGTGGCGAATATCTGGTGGAATTGGGCGAGGGGTGAGGGGCGGGTTCATGAGGGGAAGGGGCAGATGAAAACGGACGTACATGAGATTAGGGTTGGGGTTGCCATGGGTTTTACCTGGCGGCTGTTGGCTCTTGTGGTGAGAAACCAAAAAGGCGAGATGGACTTGATGGGAAAGGAAGGAGATGAAGACATGCGAGAGCTGACAGTGAGGTAGGAAGCAGAATCGATTCGGTAGAGGTGGGAGAGAATAGCACCCACCTGGTTGAGGCGTGCGTGCCACAGCACGCGCACAACGCTCTGGTCTGGGGACACGCCCGTGACGCGCACGAGGTCCAGCGACTCCTTGGAGTAGAAGTGCAGCTGCATGGGGTGAGGTGAGGTGAGGCCACATGTCACGACACATGGGATGCGCGTGGGGCGGGGGGTGGGAAGACAAATAAGCAAGGCAGCGTTGCGAAATTGGCGGCTCGTCTACCCACACTGACCGCTCTTCACCTCTCTCACTCCTCTCTGTTCAGCTTTCCCATCTCCCCCCTCCACTGTACCCTCTCTCCGTCATGCTGCCCTGCGCTCGCTACCTTGCCTGTCACCTTCCTTTCGCTCAACTTCTCGTCTCTCCAACACCACCCGCCTGCGCTGCGCTCATTCTCTCCCCCCACCCTCACCTGCCCGCCGCGCCCCCCTTTCTCTGCAGAGGTGCCGGTGAAGAAGAGGCGCTCGTCGGGGCTCCACGCGACGTTGGTCTGCTGGTAGTGGTTCGGCAGGTCCGCATACGCCCTCACTGGCTGCTTGAACTTGCGCACGTCCCACACCTGCGGACGAGGGGGGGGGGGGGGGGGGAGTGAGAACAGGGGGATGGTAGGAGAAGGGGAAATGGGGAAAAGAAAGGGATGAATAAGGTACAATGGGGATGCAGAAAAGGGGGGGATAAGGGACAAGGAGAATAAGAGATTGGTAAGATATGATGGTGGAGGGGGAATAAGAGGGGGGGGGAGGGGGAAGTAAGGGAATCAGGAATAAGGGAAATATGACATAGGTTCAGGTTGGGCGGAATAAGGGAAGTGGATAAGAGATGCGTGAGATATGGAATCTGGGAATCAGAGGATCGGAATGAGAAAGGATGAGGAACAGATGGAAAAGGAATGGAGGCATGGGAAAGAGAAGGAGACCAGCAGAGTTGGTGGAGTGTTGACGAACCGATGCCAGCATCCATACTGATGCCAGCATCCATTCTGATGCCAGCATCCATTCTGATGCCAGCATCCATTCTGATGCCAGCATCCATTCTGATGCCAGCATCCATTCTGATGCCAGCATCCATTCTGATGCCAGCATCCATTCTGATGCCAGCATCCATTCTGATGCCAGCATCCATTCTGATGCCAGCATCCATTCTGATGACAGCATCCATTCCGATGCCAGTGACAAGGGTGTTGACAGTGACAGGGGTGCTCCACAGGCACCCTCACAGGCGATGGTGAGAGACCAAGACAACGAATGCACGGGAGCAGCTCGATTGAGGCAGAGCAGCTCGCTTAAGGCAGAGCAGGAGAATGAGAGTTGGAGGTGCTTCCAGCATGCAGTGGTGGGAGGGGCAGTCGACTGTGTGGAGGTGGCTGGATGCTCACTCACGCCACACACCTCCACCCTCCACTCCTTCCTTCCCTGCCTGCCTGCATGCATGCGTGCAGCGCACGCGTCAACTTCATGCTGCCATCCATGTCACCTTCATGCTGCCATCATGTCACCTTCATGCTGCCATCATGTCACCTTCATGCTGCCATCATGTCACCTTCATGCTGCCATCATGTCACCTTCATGCTGCCATCCATGTCACCTTCATGCTGCCATCATGTCACCTTCATGCTGCCATCCATGTCACCTTCATGCTGCCATCATGTCACCTTCATGCTGCCAACATGTCATCTTCATGCTGCCATCCATGTCACCTTCATGCTGCCATCCATGTCACCTTCATGCTGCCATCATGTCACCTTCATGCTGCCATCATGTAACCTTCATGCTGCCATCCATGTCACCTTCATGCTGCCATCATGTCACCTTCATGCTGCCATCATGTCACCTTCATGCTGCCATCATGTCACCTTTATGCTGCCATCATGTCACCTTCATGGTGCCATCATGTCACCTTCATGCTGCCATCATGTCACCTTCATGCTGCCATCATGTCACCTTCATGCTGCCATCATGTCACCTTCATGCTGCCATCCATGTCACCTTCATGCTGCCATCATGTCACCTTCATGCTGCCATCATGTCACCTTCATGCTGCCATCCATGTCACCTTCATGCTGCCATCCATGTCACCTTCATGCTGCCATCATGTCACCTTCATGCTGCCATCATGTCACCTTCATGCTGCCATCATGTCACCTTCATGCTGCCATCATGTCACCTTCATGCTGCCATCCATGTCACCTTCATGCTGCCATCATGTCACCTTCATGCTGCCATCATGTCACCTTCATGCTGCCATCCATGTCACCTTCATGCTGCCATCCATGTCACCTTCATGCTGCCATCATGTCACCTTCATGCTGCCATCATGTCACCTTCATGCTGCCATCATGTCACCTTCATGCTGCCATCATGTCACCTTCATGCTGCCATCATGTCACTTTCATGCTGCCATCATGTCACCTTCATGCTGCCATCATGTCACCTTCATGCTGCCATCCATGTCACCTTCATGCTGCCATCCATGTCACCTTCATGCTGCCATCATGTCACCTTCATGCTGCCATCCATGTCACCTTCATGCTGCCATCATGTCACCTTCATGCTGCCATCATGTCACCTTCATGCTGCCATCATGTCACCTTCATGCTGCCATCATGTCACCTTCATGCTGCCATCATGTCACCTTCATGCTGCCATCATGTCACTTTCATACTGCCATCATGTCACCTTCATGCTGCCATCATGTCACTTTCATGCTGCCAACATGTCACCTTCATGCTGCCATCATGTCACCTTCATGCTGCCATCCATGTCACCTTCATGCTGCCATCCATGTCACCTTCATGCTGCCATCATGTCACCTTCATGCTGCCATCCATGTCACCTTCATGCTGCCATCATGCCACCTTCATGCTGCCATCATGTCACCTTCATGCTGCCATCATGTCACCTTCATGCTGCCATCATGTCACCTTCATGCTGCCATCATGTCACCTTCATGCTGCCATCATGTCACTTTCATGCTGCCATCATGTCACCTTCATGCTGCCATCATGTCACTTTCATGCTGCCATCATGTCACCTTCATGCTGCTATGATGTCACCTTCATGCTGCCATCCATGTCACCTTCATGCTGCCATCCATCTCACCTTCATGCTGCCATCCATGTCACCTTCATGCTGCCATCATGTCACCTTCATGCTGCCATCCATGTCACCTTCATGCTGCCATCCATGTCACCTTCATGCTGCCATCATGTCACCTTCATGCTGCCATCCATGTCACCTTCATGCTGCCATCCATGTCACCTTCATGCTGCCATCATGTCACCTTCATGCTGCCATCCATGTCACCTTCATGCTGCCATCATGTCACCTTCATGCTGCCATCATGTCACCTTCATGCTGCCATCATGTCACCTTCGTGCTGCCATCATGTCACCTTCATGCTGCCATCATGTCACCTTCATGCTGCCATCATGTCACCTTCATGCTGCCATCATGTCACCTTCATGCTGCCATCATGTCACTTTCATGCTGCCATCATGTCACCTTCATGCTGCCATCCATGTCACCTTCATGCTGCCATCCATGTCACCTTCATGCTGCCATCCATGTCACCTTCATGCTGCCATCCATGTCACCTTCATGCTGCCATCATGTCACCTTCATGCTGCCATCCATGTCACCTTCATGCTGCCATCCATGTCACCTTCATGCTGCCATCATGTCACCTTCATGCTGCCATCATGTCACCTTCATGCTGCCATCCATGTCACCTTCATGCTGCCATCATGTCACCTTCATGCTGCCATCATGTCACCTTCATGCTGCCATCCATGTCACCTTCATGCTGCCATCATGTCACCTTCATGCTGCCATCATGTCACCTTCATGCTGCCATCATGTCACCTTCATGCTGCCATCATGTCACCTTCATGCTGCCATCATGTCACCTTCATGCTGCCATCCATGTCACCTTCATGCTGCCATCATGTCACCTTCATGCTGCCATCATGTCACCTTCATGCTGCCATCCATGTCACCTTCATGCTGCCATCCATGTCACCTTCATGCTGCCATCATGTCACCTTCATGCTGCCATCATGTCACCTTCATGCTGCCATCATGTCACCTTCATGCTGCCATCATGTCACCTTCATGCTGCCATCATGTCACTTTCATGCTGCCATCATGTCACCTTCATGCTGCCATCATGTCACCTTCATGCTGCCATCATGTCACCTTCATGCTGCCATCATGTCACCTTCATGCTGCCATCATGTCACTTTCATGCTGCCATCATGTCACCTTCATGCTGCCATCCATGTCACCTTCATGCTGCCATCCATGTCACCTTCATGCTGCCATCCATGTCACCTTCATGCTGCCATCCATGTCACCTTCATGCTGCCATCATGTCACCTTCATGCTGCCATCCATGTCACCTTCATGCTGCCATCCATGTCACCTTCATGCTGCCATCATGTCACCTTCATTCTGCCATCATGTCACCTTCATGCTGCCATCCATGTCACCTTCATGCTGCCATCATGTCACCTTCATGCTGCCATCATGTCACCTTCATGCTGCCATCATGTCACCTTCATGCTGCCATCATGTCACCTTCATGCTGCCATCCATGTCACCTTCATGCTGCCATCCATGTCACCTTCATGCTGCCATCCATGTCACCTTCATGCTGCCATCCATGTCACCTTCATGCTGCCATCATGTCACCTTCATGCTGCCATCCATGTCACCTTCATGCTGCCATCCATGTCACCTTCATGCTGCCATCCATGTCACCTTCATGCTGCCATCCATGTCACCTTCATGCTGCCATCCATGTCACCTTCATGCTGCCATCATGTCACCTTCATGCTGCCATCATGTCACCTTCATGCTGCCATCCATGTCACCTTCATGCTGCCATCATGTCACCTTCATGCTGCCATCATGTCACCTTCATGCTGCCATCATGTCACTTTCAAGCTGCCATCATGTCACCTTCATGCTGCCATCCATGTCACCTTCATGCTGACATCCATGTCACCTTCATGCTGCCATCCATGTCACCTTCATGGTGCCATCATGTCACCTTCATGCTGCCATCCATGTCACCTTCATGCTGCCATCCATGTCACCTTCATGCTGCCATCATGTCACCTTCATGCTGCCATCATGTCACCTTCATGCTGCCATCATGTCACCTTCATGCTGCCATCATGTCACCTTCATGCTGCCATCATGTCACTTTCATGCTGCCATCATGTCACCTTCATGCTGCCATCATGTCACCTTCATGCTGCCATCATGTCACCTTCATGCTGCCATCATGTCACCTTCATGCTGCCATCATGTCACTTTCATGCTGCCATCATGTCACCTTCATGCTGCCATCCATGTCACCTTCATGCTGCCATCCATGTCACCTTCATGCTGCCATCCATGTCACCTTCATGCTGCCATCCATGTCACCTTCATGCTGCCATCATGTCACCTTCATGCTGCCATCCATGTCACCTTCATGCTGCCATCCATGTCACCTTCATGCTGCCATCATGTCACCTTCATTCTGCCATCATGTCACCTTCATGCTGCCATCCATGTCACCTTCATGCTGCCATCATGTCACCTTCATGCTGCCATCATGTCACCTTCATGCTGCCATCATGTCACCTTCATGCTGCCATCATGTCACCTTCATGCTGCCATCCATGTCACCTTCATGCTGCCATCCATGTCACCTTCATGCTGCCATCCATGTCACCTTCATGCTGCCATCCATGTCACCTTCATGCTGCCATCATGTCACCTTCATGCTGCCATCCATGTCACCTTCATGCTGCCATCCATGTCACCTTCATGCTGCCATCCATGTCACCTTCATGCTGCCATCCATGTCACCTTCATGCTGCCATCCATGTCACCTTCATGCTGCCATCATGTCACCTTCATGCTGCCATCATGTCACCTTCATGCTGCCATCCATGTCACCTTCATGCTGCCATCATGTCACCTTCATGCTGCCATCATGTCACCTTCATGCTGCCATCATGTCACTTTCAAGCTGCCATCATGTCACCTTCATGCTGCCATCCATGTCACCTTCATGCTGACATCCATGTCACCTTCATGCTGCCATCCATGTCACCTTCATGGTACCATCCATGGAGCGGGAGACGAGCAGGGAGGCATCGGAGCAGAAGGCGAGCCCTGTGATGTCGTCGCCCCTCTCGTGCGCGTCACCACACACCAGGTCCGGCAGCGACCCCCATCCTGACTTCACATTCCACACCTGCCACCCACACATGGGGGGGTTGACCAAGGGCAGTGAGAGGAGCAGTGGAGGAGGACGGGCGGGGGTAAAGGAGGGCCCTGCGCAGTGAGGCACAGCGAGAGGCTGCAGCACGGCACACACGCGTGTGAGCAAGACATGCGTGTGAGCAAGACATGCGAGGTACAAACAGCAGGTGGACGTGATGCCATGGCAGGTGCACGTGATGCCATGGCAGGTGCGTGCAGAGGTAATTCCACCAAGTTGACGACATGTGTTGTGCCGTTCATGCCGTGCCGTGCCAGCAAAGGGCAACGCCACTACCATACATGCATCACATGCCCCGTTCCTCTCTCCACACCACACCTTGCCACGCCCCGCCCCGCCCCGCCACGCCACGCCCCACCACGCCACGCCACACCATAATGCCACGCCATGGGCATCCCGTAGCCTACCTGCAGCGAGCCATCATTGAGGCCAGCAGCGACGAGGCGGCCATCAGGGCCCCACTCCGCTGCTGTCACCGGCACCCTGCCCGGCCGCGCCAGCTTTGGCTTCACCACCTGCACGGCACGGCACAGCACGGCAGTCACGCACAGGAGCGAGGAGCCCGAGAATATTCAGCTTGCCCGCGGGTGGGATTCTCAAGCTGCCTGGCCAGCGGTCAGGGCACGAGGAGCCAATCCAATCACAAACACACGGTACGGTACGCACATGGAGGGGGGAGCATGAGCGCACCTTCTTCTGCGACTTGAAGTCCCGCACATCCCAGATGCGCAGCGACCCGTCCTCGGACGCGGTGAGCGCGGTGTGGCGCTCGCAGGGGTGCCACTGCGCGGTGGTGAGCCCGGCGATGTGCCCCTTGGTGTTGCGCAGGTCGCGGATGTACATGTCGCCCCGCACCATCTCGCCCTTGCTGCGCCCGTCCCTGTCGTACACCTGCCCGCACCACCGCACCACACCGCATCATTGCAGGGCGAGGGGAGAGGGAGAAAGGGAGCGGGAGGGGAGCAGGGAGGTGGTGAAGAGAAGAGAGAGGCTGGGCGAGATGGTGTGTGCAGCCTCAATCGTGGCTCGGTCAGAAGCAGGCTTGTGTTGTGTGTGGTGGATGGGTGGGACAACATGCGCGAGAAGAGGGTTTGACAAAAGGAGCACAATATCCTACTCGCCTTGGTCAGGGCCCTAAGTTGCCAAATACGCTCAACCCCTTCAGCGTATAGCGTATTTGGCAACTTAGGTCAGGGGGAAGGATAAACAGCGTTATGAAGTATGGAAGAGGGGAGGTGAGGAGGAGTGGCGCACCTTGGCAGGGCGCACCTTGGCCTGGGCGCACCTTGGCCTGGGCGTTGCCGGTGGCGGTGATGAAGAGGTCAGCGGAGGGGCTGAAGGAGACGGCGCGCACTTGGTGTCCGTCGAACGGCACGAGCTCCCGGAATGCCTTGAGGCGCGAGTCCATGCCCTGGAAGTCGTACAAGCGCAGCGAGTAGTCGTAGCTGCCACTGATCACCCTCGTGCCCGTTGGGTCCACCGCCAGCGCCGCCACTGCCTGCCACGCGGTGGGGGGGTGAGGAGCAAGGTGGTGATGAGGAGGGAGGTGGTGAGAAGGTGAGTCCGCAACACATGAATGGGGCTGGTGAGCAGGCGAGGGACGCAGCGGCTTGCCATGTGTCACTGGAGCAGTGGTGACAAGACAAGCTGCTACAGATAGCGAGCACTGCTACAGTCATCATGACAAGCTGCTAAAGATAGGAGCACCGCTACAGTCATCATGACAAGCTGCTAAAGATAGGAGCACTGCTACAGTCATCATCTCACCTTGGTGTGTCCCCCCAGCACAATCTCATTGCTCAGCGGCACTCCAAACTCGTCCTCCTCCTCGTCCTCCTCCGCCTCTGCTTCCTCCTCCTCCTCCTCATCCTCATCCACATCACTCCCATCGCTCCTCTGCCCACCGTGCGCCCCATCCTGCCGCGCTGTCGAGCGGCTCTTCTTCCGCCCACCGGGCTGCTGTGTGCGGCGAGCAGCAGGGGCAGGCGGCCCAATCAGTCCGCCAACTCCGTCCTCCAAGCGGCCCGGCGGCCGCGGAGGGCCGATCACTGCATGCCCCTCGCCCTCGCCCTGGCCCTGGCCCTGGCCCTGGCCCTGGCCCTGGCCGTGGCCCTGGCCGTGGCCCTGCACCACCGCTGCTCCTCGCCCATCTGTTGCTCCTCCATCCCTCACTGCTCTTGCCCCATCCCTGTCCCTGGTTGCTCCACCAGCGCAGCCACTTGCGGCACTACCACCATTCGTCTCCCGCAAGCTCCCCCCCGCAGCTTCATCTCCGCCCACCCGCTCTGCTCCTCCGCCTGCACCTCCCCTCTCCGCCACAGCTCCAGCGCCCGCCGCTCCTACCGCCGCTGCTCCAGCCAGCCCTGCCTTGGCCCCGTCGCCTAACCTCTTCGCTAGGCTCGGCCCGATGCTGAACTTCATCCCCCCAGCCTTCTTCTTCCCCTTCCCCCCGGCGCGCTCCGCGTGTGCGCGCGCCGTCTGCGCGTGCACGGCCTCGAGCGGCGTGACGCGCTCCTCCTGGCGGCCGAACGACGCGGGGAAGGCGGCGCGCACCCCCAGCAGCGTTTCCCCCTCGTCGTCATCGTCCGCCAAGGCGGCGGCGGAGGGCGGCGGGCGGAAGGGCGGGCTGTCCGGAGGACTGTCTGCGTCACCGCTGGCGTCATCCATCGGAGTATCCCGGAAGCGAACGTGAACGAGTTGCCGTGTTGCGAACGACGGCTGGGCTTGCGGTAATTGCAACAAGTGAGGTTGTTAGCGTGCAGAGATAGATTTAAGGGGAAAAAAGTCGGGTGTCTCAGAAATACATGCCGTCAGCACGCGATTAGCTTGCCTACCCGAGTAGCTTACTCCAAACTCGAAACACGTAGAGGACGACAGGAGTGAGGCATCCCCCGATATGTAAGTGAAGGAATGCGTGTGCGGAGTGGAAAGTTGCACGTTCAGCATCTTCTAGGTTAGGACGTGGTGCCTCTAAGGGTGGGTCATACTCATCACAATTTGGAGAAATGACAGAATTACAAAAGCCGACCTCTGTTCGGATAACAAACACCAGATCGGGCAATTTCATGGTATGCGTTCACTTGGTGCTAGTCAGGAAACCCTCCTAAAGAAACGAAACGAGCATAATGGACAGGGTTCTATGCGAATCGACCTTTCGTGAAGGGTAACCAGGAATGCTGGGACCAGTGGAAATCGCAGTACTCGTCTGCTCTGCACACCCTCCGCTCCGCTCCGCTCTGAACATCACAGGCGAGACTGGCTGAAGCTGGCGTTCGTGGCGATGGGCGAGAGATGTGCGAGGTAAATATATTTCGCAGAATTCAGCTCAGTCGGTTGCCGAGGGTGCGGCGGGCTCGTCCGCGGCGGTGCGAAATTTGAGCAGAAACTTACAGTTACTACTGTCATGACGCACGTTTTTGCATCCCTGAGCGGCGATCTGTCGTCATCCGGTTCAACATCCGGAGTTACCCTATGAAAAAAGGTTCTAGCGGCCCAATCTGACCTCACTAGTGACAATTATGACACGCCCTAGCTGCGGGCTCATGATGCTGACTGAAATTAGGGTGGAAGTCTTTCGTCAAAATTCGCTCTACCTTTCACCCACTAGCCTGATCTGCTCGAGCTGCAATATTCACGATTCAGCAGCTGTTGTTGGCGATAGATGACTATAGCTGCTCGATTGCTTGGTGTGGAAACCCAGTTTCAGAGTCGATTTTCCTTGCACTTTTCGCCCGCACAATCTACTCCTTCCCCCCTCGGGCTTTGGCTGTCCCGCCAATTAGCGACGCGACTCGGATCGGAACGGAGACTGACCCATCTACTGTAATGCCCCCGGAACAGGCCTGCGTTGGTTGGACATTACAGGCTATCAACTAATTCCCACGTTGCTCACAACGCAACCCTAATCCAAATCGGTTTTTCTTCGTCTCACGCTTCTCAGCTTTCAGGCCCTTGAGCTGCGGTGTGTGTAACACCCAAAAAGGTTCTCCTTGCCGTTCGCGCTTAGGCTGGTCGTTTCAGCTGTAGCATTTACGAGATAGGTGAACATCCCTTTTTGGACGCCTTCTCGTACCACCGGCGCTACGTCCAGATATTAGGTAGGCACAACAGTAGCGGCACAGCAGCCTAACAAGCCGGAGGTCCAGCAGGAGGCGGAGCGAGTCTTTCGCGATCCCACATCCATACAGATCTCGTCCGGTGGGCGGCAGTGGGCGGCGCCGTCGCCGTCGTCATCGCGAGCGTCGCGAGCAGCATGGCGGCGGGCGCGCCTCCGGTGTTCAACCTGTTCATCATCAACAAGTCGGGCGGACTCATCTACTACAAGGTGCGTCCCTCCCGCGTGCTGCCGCCCACTCAGCACGCACGCATTCCGTGCCGCTGCTAAGAGCATTCCGTGCCGCTGCTAAGAGCATTCCGTGCCGCTGCTAAGAGCATGATGGCGGCGTCCACAGCACTCGTCTCGCTCCTCCATGACGCACTTAATCATTCCTCCTCCTCCTCCATGACGCATTCCATCATTCATCCTCCTCCTCCATGACGCATTCCATCATTCCACCTCCTCGTCCCGCTGCAAGAATGTGTGCTCGGCGCGTCGCCGCTCCACGCCAGAGGTTGCTGTGAATGTTCGACATCGCGCACGTCGCTCACCCTCCTGTCCCACTCGCACGTTGCTCACCCTCCTGTCCCACTCGCACGTTGCTCACCCTCCTGTCCCACTCGCACGTTGCTCACCCTCCTGTCCCACTCGCACGTGGCTCACCCTCCTGTCCCACTCGCACGTTGCTCACCCTCCTGTCCCACTCGCACGTTGCTCACCCTCCTGTCCCACTCGCACGTTGCTTACCCTCCTGTCCCACTCGCACGTTGCTCACCCTCCTGTCCCACTCGCACGTTGCTTACCCTCCTGTCCCACTCGTCAAACGCCTTCGCACTTCCCACCTACGCACTCCTCCATCCCCTCCCCTCTTTCTCACCCACTCCCAAATCCCCCCCCTTCTTCCCTTCTCCACCACAGCTGCAGCAGACCACCAACGACTCTCCTAGTCTGTTCCTCGCTGTGCAACCCCTTCTCTCCCTTCCTCTCCCCTTCCCTCGACTCCCTTTTCCCCCCAACCACCTTTCCAACCCCCCTTCCCCCCAAAATCCTTTTCTCCAACTCCGCACCGCCCCCGCCCCTGCAATGGCCCCCAACTTCAGAAATCCAAACCTTGGAGCAGCACGGCAACCGTCTCTTGAACTCACTCAAAGTGTCAATCTTCCAACGCGTTTTCCTCCATCCGCTTTCCCCCTTCTGCCTTCCCCCAAGCCCGCACCTCCCCATCCCTGCTGTCCCCCATCTCCTCACCACTCTCCCCACCTCCCCCCCTCCCCCCCTGGCGCGCGCAGGACTTTGGGTCGTTGAACCGGCTGGACACGAACGACTCGCTGCGCCTGGCGTCCACGTGGCACGGGCTGCATGCCATCGCCATGCAGGTCACCACACACTGCCCGTGGCTGTGAGCGGCTTTGAGTGGCTGTGAGCGGCTGTGAGCGGCTTTGAGCGCCTGTGAGCGCCTGTGAGCGGCTGTGACCGGCTGTGAGTTGCGTCGCTGTCAATGGCTGATAGCGGCTGTGTGATGCATACATCCCTACATCCATGCCTTGATGCCATGGCCACATGTGACACCCAGATGTAGCGCAGACCGACAGCTTGTTGAAGCGAGATCCCCCTCTTGCCGTGGCCCTCTGTGAACAGCTGTCGCCCATCCCCAACGGTGGCGGCATCGAGATGCTGGAGGCGGGCACCTTCGACCTGCACTGCTTCCAGACGCTCACAGGTACCTTCGACCTGCACTGCTTCCAGACGCTCACAGGTACCTTCGACCTGCACTGCTTCCAGACGCTCACAGGTGCCCTCCCACCCATCAACTCCACCCACAGGAATGTTGCCATTCAGATTGGCGGGTAATCCACTGTCAGCAGCACCACCTCTCCACTCTCTATTGCCCTCTGCCTCATTCCTTGCCACACTGCCCCGTCCCATTCCTCATGGATCTACGCCCCCCTCTCTTCCCTTCCCACATCCCTCTGACACCCCTTATCTTCCGACCACACCGTGCAATTCACTGAGCTCCACGCCATGTTACCATGGATATGTCCAATGTCTCGTACTCATCCAGTCCAGACTCGCACTGCTCCCTCCTCCTCCCTCCTCCTCCTCCTCCTCCTCCTCCTCCTCCTCCTCCTCCTCCTCCTCCTCCTCCTCCTCCTCCTCCTCCTCCTCCTCCTCCTCCTCCTCCTCCTGCCCCTCCTCCTCTCATCCGACCCCTCATGGACGACGTACCCTTGGGGCATATTAGGGCAGTCCGATTATTTTTTCGGGTAGCCTGAAAAAGTTTTGGTGAACGTCTAGCGTCCAAGGATGCTGGACGTTACCATGTTTGGGCGTCGACAGTAACATAGGCTGCACAGTCAGCCTCCTCAGGGCATGGCTGCCCCGCCACCCCAATCAACCAGCGCACCCTTCTCGCGCACCCCACATATCCTCCCTTTGAACCCACTCTCCCCACTATCCCCCCTCTCCGCCCACAGGCACCAAGTTCTTCATAGCCACGGAGGTGGGCTTCACGGGGGCGCCCACGCTGCTCGCAATCATCTATGACCTCTACACCGACTATGTGCTCAAAAACCCCTTTTATGAGGTGCCCCTCTACACCGACTATGTGCTATAAAGACCCTTTTATGAGGTGCCCTCTACACCGACTATGTGCTAAAAAACCCCTTTTATGAGGTGCCCCTCTACACCGACTATGTGCTAAAAAACCTCTTCTATGAGGTGCCCCTCTACACCGACTATGTGCTAAAAAACCCCTTTTATGAGGTGCCCCTCTACACCGACTATGTGCTAAAAAACCTCTTCTATGAGGTGCCCCTCTACACCGACTAAGTGCTAAAAAACCCTCCCACATCATGCATTTGTTGTAGTGCCATGCATTTGTTGTAGTGCCATGCATTTGTTGTAGTGCCATGCATTTGTTGTAGTGCCATGCATTTGTTGTAGTGTCATGCATTTGTTGTAGTGCCATGCATTTGTTGTAGTGCCATGCATTTGTTGTAGTGCCATGCATTTGTTGTAGTGCCATGCATTTGTTGTAGTGCCATGCATTTGTTGTAGTGTCATGCATTTGATGCAGTGTGAACACGTGTCTGCCCCCCCTCCCCCCCCCCCCCCCCCCCCCCCCCCGGCCACGCAATGCACACCAGGTGGAGATGCCCATCCGCTGCGACCTCTTTGACCTGCATCTGCCTGCTGCCATCCGCAAGGACCGCTCTTTGCTCGCCGCTGGGGTGGTTGTGCCTGGCCGATCATAGTGCATGCACACAGGTTGGGCCCAAGTGGCTCTTGTAGACTAAGTAGTAAGGTAAGCGCCACCATGCGAGCCATGTGGATTGGGGCTGTGAGCAGGCTGACGCATAAAACGATAATAAGCACTTGTAGGGGAAGTGAATGGGAAAACTGATAGCACTTCAACTTTGTTAGATCAATTGGAGGTACTGTACCGTAATATTCCGGCTATAGGACCCGGTGGACTCTCCACAGAAGCAGAAAAACTAGCAAGGGTGCAGGCCCTCAGATATCAGTGTAAAACACGCTGATTACGCTGATTTTGTAGCTGTGATTTTCGTTTTCCCTGAAAATTCAGCATATGCTTCAATTTTGCACTGAAATTTCAGTATATCCTACCTTGTCACACTGACCATTTTGCGTGTTTCTCTACAAGAAACACTGACAAATCAGTATAGTGATGTGAGTCACACTGAAATGGAGTTGACCGCGTGTGGAGGGGGGGGGGGGTGATAGGGTATGCATGTACAATCTGTACCTTCCCGTGATTCCTGAGACCCCACCCACACACTTGGAATTGTTTCGCATGCACTGCACAGATATCAGATGCGCGCCGAAGTTTTTAGCCTCGCTGGAACCTATCACAGCAACAACACCACACACCTTGTACTGGGGTTTCAGCTTTAGTTTTTTGTTCTTACACTGTTGGTTCAGTTTACTTATGATTTTTACACTGGCAAAATCAGTATAAAAAAAAAAACCGTGAACGCTGATTCGGACACCTCGTTGGCCGGGGCACGCTGATCCATCAGCATACCCTCAAACCAATCTGAGGGCCTGCAAGGGTGAATATATAGGTGGCATGCAGTTTTTAAGACCTGGGTACAATTATTCGTCTATCAGTGTTAGTGGATTTACCATGTACTGTTCGTTTACAGGGCAGGGCAGGGCTGTTTTAACCAGGGTAATTACTCTGATTTCATGGTGATTTCAGACTTGTCACTGTTTGGTCCATGTAAAATCAGATTTGACGAGTTTTGAACACTGATCCAATCAGAGTAGTGCTTTAGAGGAGCCTGAAATTTTGTGTACACTCTCAGAGTAGTTTTCTTAAGGACCCTGTCAATACAGAGTACGTGTCTTGTGGACCCTGAATGAGACGGTATCAGGACGAAGCTTCCCATAAATTTTGTTCCGATCAACCCCCATGTGCGTAATCATGAACTCGCTTGTACCCATGTGAGGGAACCCTTTCACGTGCAGAACTGAAGTAATACCAACAAGTAACACCACTTTCCGCTGTACAGCACAGCTGTCGACTTTGACATGACAACACAACCAGAATCATGATTTCTGCTGCCACGCGCACCGCGCAAAGCACAGTACGTGTCCCTCATTGGCGAGTGACACATGTTGGCAGTAGTCGCTGGCAGGGCTGTTTGTCCTTCAATGTATTCGGCCTTGCATGAAGGGCTGAATACATTGACGACTTGAGGTTTCGGCCATCGAGCCATCAATTTCGTGGCGACGCGGAGGGGACTTGCTGACCCCATCTTCTCCAACCATCTCTTGCTTCCCCCTCCCCCCAGCCAGGGTCCACCAGGTGCCGCTCTTATTTTCATTTCGTTCATTTTTTTCTCTCGGTATCTCTCTCTCCCCCTCTCTACTTGCTCGCCGCCATCGAAGGCCTGCAAGCCGACGATGATTCTCCTCAGGCTCGCTAACCGTTACCGCCGGAACACACGGAGCATAACCTGCCAGAGAGCCTTGTGATGCTCGTCGCTATGGGCTCGATTTTCTTAGAACTAGTGTTGTTCCAGTTACACCCGATCCTCCGAGGTCCGCCGTCCATGACTCTGCAGCTGGAGAAACTTCCACGCCGACTGATTCTCCCCATCCCGCCGCCTTCACTCTACCCCCGGCTGTTGCTTCTTGCCGTAAAGATCCCCCACCGGCCGCTCCAAGTCCCACACCAAGCACGGTGCGGGTGTCCGTTGGTCCTCCGTCGGCTTCTTCCAGCCCAAAGCGAGCGCAATCTGGGAAGTGGGCGCAGAGTACCCTGCTCATCGGAGGCTGCCGTAATCCAACGCCTAACAACCTGATCCACCACCTGATGTCGTTGATATCCCGGAGTCAACTGACATCCCTGTTCGCGCGCACACCGGCTCGCCAGCACTCACCAAGATGCAGCTGAGAGAGCAGATGTACCTTCAAGCGAGTATCAATTACGAGACAAAGTGGTCGGGCATATTTTCACGGCCTGTCTTTGAGAAAACCAACGATGGATTTCCCTATGTGAAGTGCAGCGTCCGCATGTTGTACGGGAAGGAGAGCACGAAGTTGTCAGAACATATAGCTTGTGCTTATTGTGTAGGCTATAGTGGGGTAGCCCATAAGGGGTACAACCCAATTAGGGTTAGTACTTGTACTCAGTTCGTTCATAGTTCATCCATTCTCGTTTCAGTTTTCTCATGGTATCGAGCAGGTTCCCTCGTGGGAACTGTTCCTAGGGCCCTACTACTGCTTCCGCTGCTACTCGATCTGTTGCACGCCCCGTGGCGTGCGACCAACGGCGCGCGGCGATTTTCTTTCTGGCGCGCGCCTCGAGGCGCGCGGCCCCGCTACCCCGTCGCGCTGCCCTAGTGGCCGCGTCGCGCCGCCCTCGCGGCCCCGATCCGCCGCCCTAGTGGCCCCGTCACCTACCCCTGCGGCCTCAGCGCCGCCCTTCCCGGCGCCGGCTCCGCCCTTCCCGGCCCCGGCGCCAACTCGGCTGGCCCCGTCGCCTACCCCAGCGACCCCGACGCCGCTCTTCCCGACCCGGCCCCGCCTCTGCTGGCCCCGTCGCCTACCCCTGCGGCCCCGGCGCTGCCCTTCCCGGCCCCGGCGCCACCTCTGCTGGCCCCGACTCCGCCCTTCCCGGCCCCGACGCCGCCCTTCCCGGCCCCATCGCATACCTCCCCAGCCCCGGCGCCGCCCTTCCCGGCCCTGGCACCGCCTCTGCTGGCCCGGTCGCCTACCCTGCGGCCCCGGCGCCGCCTCTGCTGGCCCCGTCGCCGCTCCACCCAGCCCCGCCGCCGTCCCCAAGCGGCCCCGCCGTCACCACCGAGCCGCCGGCGCCGCCGAGCTAGTGCCGAGCCACCCGAGCCACCCAAGCCGCCCAAGCCGCAGCGCCACCTCAGCCGCCCGAGCCGCCGGGTCGCCGAGCCGCCGAGCTGCAGTTGCTGCCGAGCCGCCGTACCGCTGAGCCGCCCAAGCCGACGAGCCGCCGAGCCTCCCGAGTCGCCCGAGCCGCCGAGCCGCCCGAGTCGCCCGAGCCGCCGAGTCGCAGTTACTGCAGTGCCGCCGTGCCGCCGAGCCGCCCGAGCCACCCGCACCGCCGAGTCGCCGAGTCGTCGAGCCTGCTCTTCCCACCACTGGTGAGCCCCTGCCTTACTAGCGCGCTGCCTGCCGCTTGCTTGGCTGCCTGCCTTACTTCTGCTACTCCTGATCCTGCTTCTACTGGCGGAGCGAGATGCAGCCCCAGCGACGTCCGCGTGAGTCCCTCACGCCCCAGCAACTGCGTGAGTGGTACGCTGGTTGGGGTTGTAGGGGTGGTGGCGCTAGTACTGCTACTACTACTGGCGGCGGCCAGATGCAGCTCCAGCGACGCCATCGAGCGTCTCTCATGCCCCAGCAGCTTCGTGAGTGGTACGCTCAGAGTAGAGGGTCTCTCAGTTCTGTTCGCTGCTCTTACGTGATTCGCACTGGTACTCGGACTGGTCAGCCTTGTGGGACGCCTAGTCACACAGAGTCCCGCTGCTTCGCCCGTCTGAGCGACGCCTGGCGTACCGAGTTTGGCGACGAGGCTGAGCGCCCCAACTGGGTGGAGTTGCTTAGGCAGAGGGTAGATATATTTGCTCTTGACTATGATGCTATTCTCACTGCCATGTATGCATTGCCTACTAGTGCTGACTGTGCCGGTCACCTGTGCGTACCGCCTGACCCGGGTATAGAGCCTGCTGCTCTAGGTGCAGGTGAGGCTGCTGCTCTGGGTCCTAGTGTGTCTCCTGCTCTAGGTACAGGTGCGGCTACTGCTCTAGGTGCTAGTGAGTCTGCTTCCTCAGGTGCGGGTGAGTCTGCTCTCTCAGGTACCGCGTCGGCTCCGGCCTCTCACACCTTCACCCTTGACTCGGGGGCTTCCCGCTCCTTCTTTCGAGACCGCACCACACTCACGCCGCTTGGTCGGCCAGTTGCAGTCTCTCTGGCAGACCCCTCTGGGGGCCCTGTCCTTGCTCACTTCTCCACTGTCCTCCCGTGTCCAGCGGCCCCCTCTGGCACCCTGTCTGGTCTTTACCTCCCCTCGTTCTCTACGAACTTGGTGAGTGGTGCTGACCTGCAGGATGCGGGGGTTCACCAGTTCAATCCTGCGAGTCAGCGGGTGACCCACTGCACGGACGCTCTAACAGGCCGACACCTGGCCACGTTTACTCCTCGGCCGGGGTCAAGCCTGTACACACTTACCACTGCGTCTCCTCCAGTCACTGCGTCTGGTCAGGTAGCTGCATCGGGTCAGGTGTTTGCTGCAGCGTCCAGGTCTGGTCCTGAGTCTGCCCCCTGCTCGTGTCGCCTCCTGTCTCACGAGACTCTCCTCTGGCACCACCGCCTTGGTCACCCCTCCCTGCTTCGTCTCCAAAGCATGGCCTCCCGTGTCCTTGTCTCTGGTCTTCCCCGGTCCCTCCATCCCCTTCTTCCTGGGCCTGGCCCTACCTGCGTCCCCTGTGTCGAGGGGCGGCAGCGGGCTGCCCCTCACTCCTCCCAGTTTCCCCCGACAGAGGCCCCGCTGCAGACGCTTCACATCGACGTGTGGGGCCCGGCCCGCGTCCGTGGACAGGGTCATGAGCGCTACTTCCTGCTGGTGGTTGACGACTACTCGCGTTACACCACAGTCTTCCCCAGGAAGGGTGATGTCACTGAGGTGTTGATCGACTGGATCCGCGCAGCTTGTCTCCAGCTCAGGCGGAGCTTCGGCTCGGACTTTCCTGTTCTG